GGGTTCATGCAGTTATTTCATAGGGAAACTCGAGAGAAACCAAAAAAACAAGACAACCAAAAGGGAAAAAGCAGCCTTCAAATTAAGGAATTGTGTTTATGAAATGTTGGAAGTAAAAAATAATAAAATTTAATAATAATAAAAAATAATAATAATGGTTTCCTTTATGGGGTTAAGCTACGAAGAAATTATGTGTGTTTGGAGAAAGGTGTATGACCGCGTGTAATGGAAAACACGGTGTTCAGCGCCTGTCCGCCGCCATGCATGCAACAAAGAGTTTGTTTTTTTTTGTCGCCAATGCCAAGGTTCGACCCATTCAATTTCAATGCGCATTGGGTTTCGTTTATTATTTTTCCTTATTATTTCTTTAAAATATTATTTTTGCTTATTATAGATATATTATAAGTATTATATATATATATTAATAAAAATGGTTGAAGATTCACAAATATTTAAAAATTTAAATCGGTAAAATATTTAGACATTTATATTTTTAATTTATATTATAAACTTGAATCTTATCTCATTTTTATTGATTAATTATTTTATAATTTTTGTAAATTATAAAAAGCTATTTTAGTCTTAACTTCAAATCACGTAAACCACTTACGAGTGATTTGATTTAATTTGGCTTTTGTCAAAGTAATCAAACCGTCCAAAAAAAATATTTTTAATTTGATTAGTGGTTTTTTTTATTTAAAAAAAGGCCTAAATTAATCGTGAACACCACTGTAACCAAGAATGAAAACAAAAACAAAGACCTGCAACTGTAAGGACAAAATAAGACACCAAAATATACAACAATGTGAATATCTCTCTACACATAAAGGAGCCAATGTTCTCTTCTCTAATTACCACGTGGCGACATGTGAGAAGAGAGCTTTGGCTCTTTTTATTACTCACTTTTTTTTTCTTTTTCTTTTTTATTTTTATTTAGCTTTTTTATTTTTGTGGTTTTCTTTTTTAGGACTTTCTTTAGTAGATATCTTTTATCTTTAGGGTCATTTCTAAACATTAGTATTGTCAAAATAAAATAAAATAATATTTTAAACAAACATGTTCGTTAAAGAAAGACAATGCCAAAACTAATGAGACTTGTTCGGAAAATAATGTACATCCAGCTATGTAAGACGTATCTATTTTGTCAGTACTAAGCATTCCGCATGAAAGAGCACTTTTTATCTGTTTAAACACTTCAACTTTATTCTCACTTACGCTCCATATTGCTCCTTAAATATTTTCAACGATCCGAACTTCATATGCGTTGTTGCATATGGTTTGACTGCCACGTTCTTTTCTTTAAAATTAATCCCTGCATGCTTTCATAAACATCTTATAATGTGATATATCCTTCCTCTAATGATTCTCAACCATCCTATTGTCTTGTGCTCCCTTCTAATGCATATTGAAAATAGCAAACACTACCTAAATATGATGTTTATATGGCATGCATTTGAAAATTACGTTATAACTTTTATTCACTATGAAAATACAACCAAACAACAATAAATTTTCCTGTGAGCACTAGTACATTTCTAGCAATGTACACACGGATACCTCATTTGTTCATTTATTAAAAAATGATACATGGTTTAGAAAGTAAATATACATTGTCGTTGGAGTAACGTGTTTCCCTTGGTACTTATTATAAAGATGGTTTATTACTTTATTACCCCTATACTGAATATTATATAAATGTCCCACCTGACACCTTGCTGAAAATACCTCTCCGATTCAAGAAATGGTGAGCACGTGTGCCTAATTCATTAAACAAACTCACCTTTAATTCCTTATGTAACTGCCGCTCCAGTCTGATACAGGACCGGAGACAAGACCCAAAAAGTTATTAGCACCACTGTTTATCAGGTTACAGCTCCGCTACTCATAAAAAATGAGTCTCAATAAGTAAATAAGTGAGATACAACTTAGTGAGATCCTTATTTTTTTTTTGTGTAAGTGATGAGGATTTATTATCCTCATCGGGATGAATATTATTTTTCTAAATTGAACGTTAAAGTTTTAGAACTTTTTATCATGTCCTATTCACATGTTTTTAAATGGTAAATTTGGTCGTTCGTTAAAATAAAATAAAAAAACATACAAAATTAATAGAACTTGATAGAAATATATCAAAAATAGAACCCTACTTTAAGCATTCGTTCAAAAAATACCTACCGTCAGTGACAGAGCCATGATTTTGTTTGAAGGGGCATAAACTAAAAATGTGAAAAACTTTCATAACCATTAAATTATCAACTCTTAATAGTATTACATAGTTGAAAGGGCATAAGTATTCAAGTTGTTGAATTTTTTGCTACGTGATCATAGTATAATTTTCTTAAAACTTCAGTTTTTACTAAATTTATTATTCCTTAATGAGTATAATTTAGTAAAGAAAAATAGAACACTAAAAAAATCATTTTGATGTGACAAATTTGAAAATAAATTACTTGGGGGTACATAAGATAAAATAATATTTGAAGAGGTCATTGGAAAAAAAAATATGTTTAAGTAGAGACACATTTAAAAAAATTATTTCTATAGGAAAATTTTGAAAAAACAAGTTATAATATGCCATATTTATAAGATACAAAGGACTATAAAAACGTATGGGGAAAAAAAGTTTTAAACACATGTTTTTTTAACAACTCAAATCACAATTCATTTTTTTTTTTTTTTTGTTACAGTGTTTTATCTCATAAAAATTTAAATTTAACTTTTTTGTTACAATGCTTTCCCTCACATAAAATTCACTTTACAATTCAAGTTCTTAACTTGAGTTGTGAAATGAATATGTCCTTATAAGTAGGGACACATTTGAAAAATAAGAAATTACTTCATGGGCAAATAAATTAGAAAGGAAAAAAAATCAGTAATGACATATTTTTAAAATAATTAATAGGTATAAATTAGAGAAAAAGTTTGCTTATGAGGAAGTATGTGTAAGATCTTGTTACTGAGGAGGCATATATAAAAATTTTTGAAAACTACATGCAATAAAACAAATTTTAAAAAATATAGGGTGGACATATATAAAATTGTTTGGAAAACTACACGCAATAAAAAAAAAAAATTCAAAAATCCAGGAGAGCATATGCTCCGTCTGGGCATAGCCTCCCTCCGCCCCTGCCTACTGTAAAATTTAATGAAGTTTTTACATATCCAGTGCAAAATCTCTCTTTCCACCTTTAGATAGAAAGGAAATAAGGTTGAAACATTTAGGGCATGTTCTTTTGTCCAAAAAACTCAAAAAAAAACAACTCAAGTTCCAACTTTATTTAAGTTCACGTTCTTTTAAATTTCAAATTTATTCAACTTTACTCAACTTTATTCAAGTTACAACTTCTACTCAAGTTATAACTCAAATTCAACTCAAAAACTACACTCAAGTTACACTCCAAAAGAATAACCCCTTATATCCGCACAATTTTTGAGGAGGATGAAAACAAATGATAAATAAAAGTAAAAAGAGACAAAAGTGAACGAGAAATTGTAATAATTTTAAAAAGAAAATATAACATTAATAGTTAAAATTAACTAATGGATAATATTATTTTATAAATTAAATTAAGATTAAAATTAAGCGAGATATGAGAGGGCTAAATTATGTACAACGATAATTATATCTATAAAAGAATTAGGAATGACAATGAGGTGAGGTGGGGTGGATGATTATTTCCCATCTCTATCCCCGCCCCCTAAATTATCTTCATTCAGGGATTCTCTGTTGAGGAAGTTTTCCCTGTACTCATCTTTTGTCGTCTACTACTACTACTACTACTGCTACTACTGTTAAGAGGTTCCATTATAAAAATAAAATTCTTAGCATATTGTCAACTGAATACAAAAGTAATAATCAATGCACAAGTGAAAAAAGTTTAAAAACATCAAAATAAAAACGTAAATTATCTTCCCTTGTCTATTCTTCATAGCTTCAAAAGAGGATAAGGAGGCACTAGACAGTGCATCTTTATGTGTATATATAATATAGGAGAAGATCAGTAATTATCCTTTTTTTTTCCCCGGTACAAGGAATTATAATTGGTGATTTCCCTTTACCAATTAAAAAAATACAGTTATCATTTTTAAGTAAAAATTAATTTTAAGAGACTATGAGTATCTATATATATATATATTTACATAAAAAAATAATACATTAATATCGAGACGGAAGCGGGATGAAAGGTACTTCTTTCGTCTTTACCTCCCCATGAATTGGGGACTAGATTTTGTCCCCATCCTCAATAATTGTCCCTCATTCCTGCTCCGTTCAGGGTGGGACCGTCTCCGTGGAGATTATTGTCATCCCTAAAAAGAATAAATTATTCAAATCTTTATTAGATGAGTATTAATAATTAGGGGACATTAATAAACTTTTTTGAGGTGCAAGTATAACTACCCAAAAATATACTACCTTAGAGTTCATTTTATATACCTTTAAATTTAATTAAATTCCGTTGAAATTATCATCTCCCTGCATAAGTTAAGACATATTTTCATATCTCATACAAAATTAACTTTTTTTTTTTTTTTTCATTTCAAAAGGGAAAAAACAATAAAGACCTGAGCTTATCCAAAACTCATGTTAATTTCATCATCATGATCTCATATGACACAGAGACTGATGTCAATATGCCATGATAATCAGCAAAATACAACACTTTTGTTTCTTCCCTTTAGTGGGTTGGTGAAGTGACTCCCTTTATGATCCACTTCCCACCCCATACTTCTTCATTACTTGTGACATTGGGACTTTTTCTATTATACAACACAAAACATCATCATCATAATCTTCCTCAAAATCATTCACCAAGGGAGTACAATAATACAATTCCACAAAAAGAAAAGAAGAGTGAAGAAAAACTAGTTCCCTTTTTGTAGCATTCTATCCGCATGAAAATCCCACTCACCATTTTTTTTTTCCTTTCACACCATTTGGGTGGCTATAATTATACCCCACGTAACCAAAAAAAAAAAAAAAAAAAAAACAGAGAGAGAGGGTGAAAAACCATATAAATCCATCAACTCAAACTTACTCTTTGACCCTTTTGTAAACAAGCCAAGCCTTGAATAACACTCAATTGGGCACAAAAGAAATCCTTTGACCCTTCGTGTCTTGTCACTTACAATGGCATTAAGATTACCATTCATTCTAGTTTTGTTGTCAGTTATGGGAGTTATCTTCGCAACCGAGGATCCGGCGAAGGACCGAGAGGAGTGTACCGAGCAGCTGGTGGGGCTGGCGACTTGCCTTCCTTATGTTGGTGGCCAAGCCAAAGCCCCCACACCTGACTGCTGCAGTGGTCTCAAACAAGTCCTCAAGGACAACAAGAAGTGCTTGTGTGTTGTCATTAGAGACCGCAACGATCCCGACTTGGGCCTGCAGATCAATGTCACTCTTGCCTTGAGCCTGCCTTCTGTTTGCAATGCCCCTGCTAATGTCTCTAAATGTCCAGGTACCTTATTCTGTGTTAAAGTATAAAATTATTGTTTGCCCACCTCTTAACAACTTAAGCTTTTAGGATGGATTGATAAACTAATATAGTATCAGAGCGGGAGGTTTTGAGTTCAAACTTCCGTAAGTGTTAAAATATAAAATTATTGTTAGCTCACCTCCTAACAGCTTAAACTTTTAGGATAGACTGGTAAACTAACCTTTTGTATGTCACAACTCATTGATTCTTAATTTCATAGCAAGCTATTATTATGATATGTTACACTTTTATTTTTGAATTAATCGAATATCCTGAAGTCTAAAGAAATTCCAGCCACATTCCAACTAAGTTAGCACCCAATAAGAAAATATCTCAAACATCTAGCTATCAACTTTATTAGCAGAAAGTGAAATACAAAGTCGATAATAAGAAAACTAACTACAAACCAAAAAGGGCTTGTAGTCGAAACATGAAAAAAAACAACTTAAAATAAGAAAAGCGAAGCACAGACGATCTAATCTTCAAGTAGAAAAACAACAAAGTAAGATGTTAACAGAATTTGAATAATAACCTGGTGCAAAATCAATATCAGGTGTGTTGGACAAAAGGGTTCATTTTTCAGCTGTAGAAAGGGTACTTTTGCACTGATATTGGCTTTTTTGCTAGAACGAATCAGCGATGAAATTCGTGTTCCTGTCGAGTTGAATCTTGTACTGAATGTTTGGCTGCAGAACTTCTGAAGATGGATCCTCATTCACCGGAAGCTCAAGTTTTCTATCAGTTAGAGAGAAACTCTACTAAGACTGACAGTAATCCTTCTCCAAGTCCTTCAGGTACCATAACATATGGGTTAATTCTTTTTTTTTTTTTTTTTTTTTTTGGTTATAGCACTAATAAAAAAAAGTAACTTATAAAATAGTAAAGGTTTTCATTATTATCTTTTGTGTCAATGCCGCATCAGTAATTACCAAGTAATTAGAGAATTTTCATGATTGTTGGCAATTGCTAGAATAATCTGACATGGAAGTGACATAAAACAAAAAAAAATTGACCCAACATATAAAGTATTGCTTAACAAATATAAACTACAGTTATTTGTAAAATGTATTTTTTCCCTCAACACGATGGTGAAGATCCTATTTTGTCCCCAACTTCCTTTATCTTTCCCTCTTTTGCCTTGTATTTTTTTCCCTCTAGATGTATCAAAGCTAAAGTTTCTTCTTTTTTTTTATTTCTTTTTTCTTTTGTTTTTTTTTTTTTTTTTTGTGGGAACTTTTTCATGGCCACAGCTGGGGGTCATATTAGTGGCAAAAGCAAAGGGTTAAGCGCAAGCAGCGGCAGCGGCGGCAGGAGCGGGAAGAAGAGACTGGAATGGAAAGCCATTATTGGAAGTGTTCTGCTTTCGGAGGTTATGAGTTTGCAGTGGTTCATGTAGACAGTTGAAAAATGGATTGTCACTCTTCATTTTCAATCTTGTACACTTGTTTGTTGTGAGGAGTTTCACTTGGTTCCTTGCACGTCTGTGTTCTCACATCTTTGAATAAATATCAAAAGGAAAATGAAAGAATGTTTTCGTTTGTGAAAATGCTTGATGATTTATGTTTTCGTTCTAACTTCTATATAGTCACTCTAATACAAGACTGTAATCCAAATCTCGCCTTTGAACTTTTTAGATAAGTAAATTCATCAAGTGCCCGAATTTACCGATCGCACTTAAAAAAAGTGAGATCAAAAACCCATTTTCGATTTTGATTCACAAAGAGATTTTGCGTGTCAGGTATTCATTTCTTAGTTTACACAGTTGATGAGAGAACCTTTAATCAGGAGGCAAAACTTGAGCTTTATCTTTCTCCATTTCGATGTATAGCTCAGCACATAAGTGAAGTATTTCATTAGTTACAGACTTTAGTTTTGAATACAAGTTTAAATAGAATTGCCAAAAGTGTACAAGCTAAACACTCCTTTGTAATGTGAACACGAAGTTTTTTTTTTTGGACACAAAATGAGCACTTGCAGACTTACTTGAAAAATAATCGCTGCTTCAAATTCAAGCTCCAATTTTGCAGAATCATATAAAATGGAAAGACACTTTTGGAGTGACATAAAATTCCATCTCAAGAAATCAGGTCCAAATACTTGTGATTACACAAGACACTTCTAGTGAGGGGAGGGGAATTCCTTTCGTTGACGACTTCCATATCACATTGGATTGCTCAACTGCAGCACAATTGACACTCTTTAACATCATTATAGATTTCAAGGAATGACAAATAAATCTAAAGAATAAAAAAAAAAAAAGAGAAGCAATAAGATAAGTCGACGTTCAATCTCTAAGGCGGGTTTCCGCCGAGAACGGAATAGTGTTTGTGTCCAAAGGTGAACAACGTCCTAGCTTCTAGAGTTCGCTGCTTTTTGCAGGCCGAAGGAAGAAGGGCTTGTACTGCTCACCTTTGTTTGATATGTTCATTCAGTACCAATACAAACTACAACTACACCAAAGTGGAAGGGCCACTAAAGAAGCTATAAGTAGTATTATAGTCATCAACGTAACAAAAGCGTCACCACAATAAAAAAGTACCTTATGAATGGAATATTAAGTAGGGAGCTTAGCTCGCCCACCCACCTACCAATCAAAGAGGCTGAGAGTAAGCCCAGGCTCACCCATAAGCTCTTCGAGCTTTCTCCGCCAGAGAGAGTGGAGAGGGAGAGAAGCGACTCGTCATAGAAGCTTCACTTCCGGGATGAAGCCGAGCCTAAAAATTCAACTTGGTGCAGGAGGCCAAGCATTCTGAACCGGAAGGAGAAAAAAATTGGGAAATGGGTAATGATCATGCACATCATCATCACACATCATAGAAGATGTTTGAAGCCTCAGATAAGGTGGGGCAATATATAATAGTACTATATGATTGGTGAAAATGTAAGGTCTCATTCAGTTCGCCGATTGAGCTTTCAATTCGAGCTGAGATATGACTTTATGTGAGAGCTTTTAACTGTAACAGAAAAAGTTAGATAATGACTTTTTGTGAGAGTTTTTAACTATAACAAAACTGGAATGAAAACTCGAACCGGTGAAATGAACGATGCCTAAATGAATGGTAAGATGCATTAGTCAAACAGACACGCAAAAAGGAAAGAGCGGGAAAGGGAGGATAAAAAGGTGAATGCAACTACAGAAGTAGATGCATCACACAACGTCAAAAAGAAAACCAACGTACGAAAGATTTCTCTCAATAAGAAATGAAGATTAAATTGCTTTAAGCTTTTCTGGTTTACCATCGTGTAAATGGTTTCGTGAGTGCCTGGCTGAGAAACACTGAACTTTAGGATAAAGAATAACACCAACCTGCAGGATACTAGATCGCTAGATCTAAACCTCTATCATGAATTCCTGACAATGCGGGAGCCATATTGTTCCACATCTTTAACATGTCTGCAATGATAAGCAAGAAACAGAAGAAAGAAAGTTCTGCAGTTTTTTTAATCCGCATAGATGTGAAAGTTTCGTCGCAACTTGTTGACAGAAAGATTCTGTGGCAATAAGCATGATATTCCCATCATTGAGTCGATCACAAAGTAGAACTGAATTGACATGAAAAACAAAAGCTCCACGTTATTGTGATCAGCGTGTAAGAAAACCATTGTTGACAGCTACATGAACCCAGTTAAAAAAAAAAAAAAATAGAGTAGTTCTGTTGCATAATACTAAAATCAGCTTAAGAAAAGTAATACCTGCATAATTGCAAATTTAGCATGTCGAATCCCGAATTTTGAAACAATAGAATAAGAGCAACACCTGGGATCGCCATAAGGAAAAGCGGCACTAACATGCATATGATCAGAACTTCGCAAGGCACATATATGGTAGTCTAGCAATGCTGAGTAAATTATTCTGTGAGAAGATGCTAGGGGCAACCAGAGTTATAAAGGATGGGTAACGCAGCCTACAGAAAAGTTGATGTAGCCAATCCCATTGAAATGCTTGAGAATTGGCAACAACATGCTGTCACATCCTGTAAGTTCCTGCATAAAAATCCATTGCTTAGATTGGACCTGCCATGGAGTAAATAATAATTAGTTAACTGGTGCAAACTCCACTACCTGAATGAATCACGAAAGTCCATTTTCGGTGCTTAAATATCTCAAAACTCATTAAGCAGCTATGTGAGATGCAGCAGACCAGAGCGAAATATTGACACCATATCTTCTGAAAAGTTTGGCTATATATGATAAAGACAACTGTGCAATGCTCACTATATGAAATCCACAACTGGAGTTGTTCGCAACTTGAAATCCACAACTGTTTTAGTGAGTTCAGGTGTTTAAAGCCCTTGTGATTAAGAGCTTTAAGATTTGGAAGGTTGGCGATGGAGAGGGAAGTCAAAGTGGTAGGAAAGAGTCCTTCCTCAGGAAATGAATCCAACGCATCCTCATATACAGAGCGGATGCGCAAGCATGTAAGAGAGGCGAGTCTCTGGAGATTTCAATGAATGCGGTCTGGAAAGAGCCTCTTGCAATTTCATAATAGAAAGCTCATTCAAATCTTCAAAAAATGACTCCAGTTATGGACAATTGGATATTTCCATTGAGCGGAGAGATGGGAATGCAGCGTCCATATGTTGATTCCTTTGAAGTGAAGTCTTCAGTCATTGACATCTCGAGATATAAAGTGTTGTCAAGTTTGGAAGATAATCAGGTAAACCAACAAGTAGTTTCGGACAATCACTCAAACAAAGTTCCTTTAGATGAAGAAAAGGTGCACCTTCCTCAGCTTCAACGAACGACCACTCTTCCCACTCTGGCATATCTCTAAAACGCAAAACTTCTAAGGATCTAAATGGCTTCATCACCAAAGAACCATTGGAGTAAATCTCGGCACCTATTCTCGCCACCCCATAAAATCCCCTGATATCAAGCTTTCTAAGAGAGGGAAGCTGCCCAAGTGGCGGCATCAAACAACAATTTTTGCAATTACTTAGGGACACTACAGCTATACCAGAGAACAAGTAATCTCCAACCCATTCTAGGAATGTTGTGCTTCTATAACAAAGAATAAATAACTCCATTTCAACCTTTTGTGAGGTTGGAGGCCGTCAAGTATCATTTTCTCTTTTTGCGAATCATCGGTATGGTTACGCCAATCCCATTTCAAATGCAGCCTCTTAATGTAATTTTTATCCTTCAAGTTGGCTTCTATAACATCCTCAACATTAAGAACATTCTGAAGCCCTGAAATACAAAGATATCCACGCAGTTGTTGAAGTCCTCTTAATTGTTTAATGCTAGACCCACTATGTTCACCCAGAACAAAACCGGATAATGCTTGCAAGTCTTTCATCTTACACATTTCCTGTGGCATATCTTTGATACTTGTGCATTCAATATCGAGATGGCGCAAGTTGATCAGGTTTCCCATGTTCGCCGGTAATCGAGTCAGATGTCTACAATGTGATAATATTATTGTCTCCAAATTGTACAAAGTACAAAATGTATGAGGTAACTCTTTGACTTCAGTCCATGACAAGTCTTAAGAACCTTAGTTGCTTCAAATTCCCAACTGAATCACGCAACTCTGTGATTGGATACTCAGATAGAGAGAGCACTCTTAAGGGCAATACTTTTGGCAGTAAGTCGTGCAATAACAACTTGTTCCATGGAAATTGTTCAGTCTCCTTCTTCCATCCTAATGGTAAAAATGTACGCAAAGATTTAGCATCAAACAAAACCTTAAACTGCTCAATCTTATCTATACTTTGTTTCATGTATGACAAATGACGAGTTCTGCCCCAAAACAGATGAGCCGTTATCCAATCTTGAACAAAATTCTCCTGATACAAATTTAGCTAAATCATTAACAAGGTCATGCATCTTGAAAAACGACCGGCTACGGCTTGCTTGTTGAAACAGCGACCTTGATAAGAGATTGTAGTAAGTATTTATTTCCAACTTTTTCTATCCTCTTGTTTTGTTGGGGTTGCAAAAGATCTTCTGCCATCCACAACATGATCAATTTTTCTTTCGTAATTTTATAACCCTTGGGGAATATTGAACAGTAAGCAAAACATCGCTTTAGATGTGGAGGTAAATAATGATAGCTCAACCATAAAGCCGGAAGAATGTTACTCTCCCTTTCAGACAACTCCCAAATGTCGCTCTTCGGTATCTTCTTCCATTCCTCTGGATCTTGTACAGAACGCAAGAGACCACCAAGAGATTTTACTGCCAAAGTAAGGCCTTCGCACTTTCTAACAATTTTTGTACCAATTACCTCCAGAATCGAATGTTGACCTGATCCACCACCATTAAAGGCGTGCCATGCGAACAATAGCCAACAAGCTTCATCAGATACCGTTTGCAGGTAACAAGCCGGCACATTACACATCTTAGAAGCAACAATTTCACTACGCGTCGACAATGATCTTACTTCCATGTGCTCTTTTTAAAACATCTCAATGGACATGATTCTCATTCCAAACATCATCAAGAACAAGCAAAAACTTCTTCCCCTCCAAAGAAATCTTCAATTTGACTTGCAATTGATGTAAGCCCTTGATTTCACACGGGCTAGAAGTGATCGTCTCAAAGTTGTTCTTGTTACTCGAAAAACATCAAATCTATCCGACACAACAACCCATGCTTTCTCATCGAATTATTTCCCCAGTCGCTTATCATCATAAACAAGTTCAGCAAGAGTGGTCTTACCAATTTAGAGCCACTAAGATCATCCGACAATGGCCTCTTTGTCAAAATCTCTTCCATGAACACCACATTCTTGAGCCAAACTTGCGGATAATCTAACAAGTGAATGTCTACAACCAACACCCTCTCTCAAACCAAGTTTACATCTTTTTGCTTCACAATAAAATCTAATCTATCAAGTATTTCAAACAACTTGGATTTCAATCCTTTCTCGCAAACCGAAAAGCGACTACAAAGGAACGAGCTTGAGTACCTGATTGTAGCCGCTTTTGGACAAATACCCACTTTCCATTTTGCTCTCCGAAGCTTGGGATTTGATCTCAGCCATCAAATCCTCTGCCTCAAAGATAGCATCTTTGAGCTCGTCAAGCCACTCTTTAACAGATGGGTTTCTGATTTGCTTCTCCTCAGCGTCATTGAGCACCATGTTAGCAGATAACAGCTTGATCTTTAACTCATTGAGAAGACGGTCAACGGGTCTTTTCCCATTGATAAAGTCAACGACTTCCTTAGAAGCCAATCTCTAAAACAACACCTGAAGGGAAGGTGACAGAAAAGCTCCACCCACAAGTTCTGCAGCCATTTTCTTGCTAAAGGAGCACAGAGGTGAAGAAGAAAAGATCTAAAATTGATTGAGAACAGAAAAGGAAAGTTCTGAAGCCATTTGAATAGTCTATGGTTTTGCTCGGGTCAATGAATTGTGCTCAATTTGCCAATAGTCAGTCACCTTCCGCTTCCAGTTGAGTTAAAATAGGAAATATATCAAAATATTTTAAAAAATGATACTTAATTAAAATTGTTATAATAATTATTAACTAATTCTGTAGTATAAAACGTGATAATAATTATAATTATTATTACATAATTATGTTCCTCATATGATTACTGTTTATTTGTTAATCATTAATTATTTACTAATTAATAATTAGTTTATTATATGATAAATAATTAATTAATTATTCAATGTAATACCGATGATAAGTTTTAGAAAATAAAAACAAAAAAAGAAAAATAACTTTTAATCATTTTTTAATTTTTTATTTTAAAAATTATTCTCACTGTTTTTTGTTTTCATTTTTATTTCAAAAGTATTTACAAAACAAACATAGTTTACCATCTTTTTCATTTTCGTGCCTTACAAGACATAAGAAAAAAAAAAAAAACACTTTCAAAAACACTCAGAAAATGATTCCAAATGCACCCGATCTTCACTTTTTATTTTCATTCTCATTTTTAAAGTATTTGCTAATCAAACACGGGACTGTTTTTGTTTTTCAGTCTAAAAAACGTGCAAAAACATTTTAAAAAACAGAGATAAAAATAATTTCAAACATACCTATTATCATATAATTATTTAAAGGAAAGCTGAAATATTTAGGCCACGTTCTTTTCGCTGATTCGAGTTTAGAATTTGAGTTTTGCTACAGTAAAAAGCTCTAAAAAACAGTCACATCTAACTTTTTTGTTACAGTAAACAACTCTCACACAACATCACATCCCAACTCGAATTAAAAACTCGAATTAACGAACCGAACGGGTCACATTAGGCATATCAGCTGTACTTAAGGTCTCAATGCAACTAGAATGAGCGTTTAACCAACAACCATCCCCCGAAAAGGATCAAGCTAATTGAGCTAATACGTGGGCAGTCATATTACTAAGTCTAAAAATATGGTCACATGAACCACTACCAGCCTCAATCATTAAGACTTTAATATTCTTTAAGATCGGTTCATTTCACCGATTTAAGTTTAGAATTTGAGTTTTGTTACAGTAAAAAGTTCTCAAAAATAGTTATATCTAATTTTTTTATTACAATAAAAAACTCTCACATAAAATCACATATCTATTCGAATCAACGAACTAAACAACTCTTAATAATTGGATTCTCCACACCCTGAAGCGCTTTCTCAGCATCAATTTCAACTAACGAGACCCGAACCGCTTGTCTTTGCAAAAGCCAATCCTTCTCGAATGGCAATGCACTCGGCTTCAAGAAAGCCCCCAGAACCCGTATGATCATGGACCGGTCCACCTTCTTCCTCGTTGGTGCCGCTGTACAGATTGAAATGCCATGCTAATAATATCATTGCATTTCCTGTCTTTTTTCTTATGTATAGATACAGTAAAATTTTTATATCTATTCAAAAATTTTCTTTTGTAGCTAGCGCACCATCAGTCTTGAATCGTTTAAAAATGGGTTGATCTTGTCCCCTATTTGGAGTGGGGACTATACATATAAGTGCATTCGTAGGTGAAATTGCCATTCTCATTCTCCCGTATTGAGTAGATTTTAACCTTCAAATCTTTGTCGGTTTCGTTAATTTTGTTACAATCTAAAACTGCACAATATATTAAATTTTTTTTTACGCTACTACAGATTTTTATATCTTTTTACATAACTAAACACAAAATAAATGACTTTTTTGATAAAATCTCTCTATTAATAAAATTAAATACGAACTGTTAAATCTGATTAAAATTACATTAAATATTAAATAAAAAAAATATGTGAAACAGATAGTTTGATATTAATATGAATACTAAAAATATAAAATTACCGTACTTCATTTTTTCTGATTCTTAAAAAAAATAATTGGGTTTTAAGAATTACCCTTATATCCCTAAGGCCATTTCATCATCTTTTGCAACGAAGGTTACCGACTTTCGGTGGACGCGGAGCCGACGAGTTCAGTCGAACAGCGTAACGAGTCTAAGGTTACAGAAGCGTTCGCCAACTTCACTTTGATAGGTATAGCATTGCAAGCAAATAGAGCAGAGAGCTTACCGTTTCTTTCTATTAGAGTCGCGAGCTTGTTGTAGTCGGTCCTAACCTAAAGGGATAATGTTGTTTTTTTTAAAGCTGTCATGTCATAGGTACTAGTGAAATTTGACTAATATGAATCATAATTCGAGTGGAAAGTAAAAGTAAATTTTTCCCTTTTTGGATATAAATCTACATAATAAAAGTCAAAATAAGTAAAAAAGGAAAAAAAAAAAAAAGGGAGTAGTTTTGATTGCCCAAGTTCTGAATTTCTTTTGTTGTCTTTTTTCTTCTCTCTTTTGTAAAGTTGTATTAGAAGATGTTTGATTCATAAATTATAATTATGAGATTAAAATTATTTTTAATTTACATATATTTTTTATGAGAGAAAATACTATAACGAACCATAAACAATAATTTAAATTATGATACGAATCACTTTACTAAATGTCACTTTAGTTTGCCCCATTCTTACGTTTCACAATGACCTTAAAACGATAGGTCCATGAAAAAATAAAGTACAAATCTATAAATAAAACATTAATTATTACTTACATGAATTTTATTCTAAAAAATTAATACAAACTTTCATTATAGATAAAGTCGGACAATATTAAGTTGATAATAATATATTAGCTTAAAATTTTATAAATTTGAAGTGGGGATTTATTCAAAAAAAAAAAATTGAAGTGGGGATTTAAACCCAGCACCTTAACATAAATAATGTGCGAATTTACGTTAAAGTCTGCCAAAATCTTAGCTATATCCACCGTTCAAATGCAAGTAAAATGTCATTATCAATGGTACAAAAAAGAAAAAAAAAAAAAAAGCAAGTAAAGGGGACTGGTAGATGGTGATCTTCAAGAAACCGTTTATTCAGAAGTGGAATCTTCCTTTTTGAACTATCTTTTGTATTTTAGAAGATCCGATTGATTGGTAGAGTTAAATTTTAACCGTCGAATCTGATTAAAATTATAAAATATACATAATAGATAATTTTTTATATAAATTTAACGACTAAAAAAATAAACTTTTTAGTAGTTCATTTTTTCAATACCTTCTAAAAAATTCCCTACAAATTTTTAAAATATTAGTATTGGGCAACTTTAAACTGAATAAATTTTAATTTGAACATATGATTTACAAATATATTTTTAATAATTCTAAAATTTTTAATAGGTTAAAATAGTACTTTATAAGTGAACATTATTTCTTTTGTTTTTCTGAAAAAATGCATTCCAAATTGAGAAAATACAAGCACTAATATTAATTCAAATGGGGTTTTTATCTATTACATCTATTTTATTATCGTTTTGAATTTTGATGCAATTTAACTGTATGTAACTGTTTTAATATATATATTATATAAAATTTTATGCTCACTGATAGAAGCAACTCTTTTTTTAGCCATTTGATTAAAGCTCAACTTCTAATTCACTAGTGAAGTACTTTTATATGTATAATGGGCTAACTTAAAATAGGAAGTCCGTTAAATATAATTTTTTTCTCGTGTTTTGTGTGTGTAATAATCATTTTGTTAAAATATAACATTAAAAAAATATAGTCCAAATCATGTAATATTAAAGGTTACACTTAAATATGTTAGGTATTACACGATTTTATAATAATAAAAAAAGAAAATATAACAAATAATATATTTTAGACATGCAATTAAAGTTTACAGCATATTTTTGTAATGTTAGTAAATTTACATATTTTGAATTTCTATACTAAAAATAGTAATTTCCAAAATTACCCATGCTTGTAAGGTTTCTCACTTAGCCAACCCTATCTCAATCTCTCGGGACCGTTTGGAAGATATATTTAAATTATAATTCTTGATTTTGACGTTTAAAATTTAAATTTTTTTATGAGAGAAAAACACTATAAAAGAATCAATAATTTAAATTTTAATATATAAATCAAACGGGCCCTCTATCTCTCTTTTTATCATAGACATTATAACAAGTGCCGACGACATAAATACCATATTCAGTAATAAATACGTTATTTTTGTTGTTGTTCATGTCTATAAATAAATATAATATTTACTAATCTTTTGTGTCGTTTGCCGGTGACTGATAAAACCATATTTTTAAGTAAGCATAATATTTACGAGTAAATATACCGGTCGCAGATCATATTTACAGGTAAATAACAATAACACCGTTTAATGAAGTGCCTCTTGAGGTGGACTTCCCAAGGCTTCAAAAACACGGCAAATGTCAGCCTTTAGGGAAGGGGAAAGCAGACAAACCAAGGCACGTTCCATATTGTCAGCACATGTTTATTTATATTAAGGGTGACAATTTGTGTAACGTATCGTATTTATATCATGTTTAATCATTTTTTTTTTAAATTTGTAGTCAATCTGAATACAACCCGTGACACGAAATTTTTTAAAAACCGTAACACGAACACGATACGACCACTTTACGAGTTGATACGACACGACTTAAAAATGACCCGTGACACGAAATTGACCCGTGAATTCAAAATTGACACGAAAATTGTATATTTTTATATAGTTTTTTACATATTAGAAATAACTTAAAATTCATAACACACTAAATTATAATAACATCCATTTAAAATTATGCAAACAATAGTATAAGATTTTAAGTATAACTATCATAATATCACAAGTTCATAATAAAATTTAAAATATGAAATGAAAAATATATGTATTTTTTAGTTTTTTACGAGTTTCGTGTCGTGTTCGGGTTAGGCGGGGGCAATATGAAATTGACCCGTATTTTTCGTGTCAATTTCAAGTCGACCCAATTCTAACCCGAACTTCTTTTTTCTCAACCCTAACCCGCAAAATTCGTGTCGTTTTCGAGTCGTGTCATCGTATTGTGACCCATATTACCAGCCCTAATTTATATTGCAAAAGAACCATATTACCCTTTTTATTTTGGAGCCTTTATGATGGTAAGATCTCTTAAAAAACCCACCAATAAAATATTTTATTTTGACTGTTAGATTAAATTTTTAACAATCAGATTTACATAAATTTGTATTAAAAATTTACAGTAAGTCGCACAAATATTAAAAATTTACAGTAAATCATGCATAATTATTTTTTAATAGATTTAACCGTTAAAAAATAGAGTGTTTTATTATAAATTTTTTTATAGAGTCTCAACCTAGAAAAAGTCTTCGTTTGCTTTACGTTGATTTTTTTTTTTTTAATGAAGTTGTGCATTCATCAGCACATAAGTCTTTCCGTTCAGTTTTATGAAGCTTGTGTATGAGGGACAATACTGTCCTTTCACTTGAGTTTTTGAGTTCAACACTCCAAGTTTTTCTCTGTGGATCAGTTATGGGCTTTTCTTGCGGCACAACGCAAAGTCACAAACACCCAAAAAAAGACGAGAGAGAGAAGGAAGTAAAGAATTCATTTTCATTTCACATTGCAGAAAAGTACAAAACTTTCTTCTTCATCATTTTATTACTTTTTTTTTTTAACTAGATAAGAAAAAAATATCATATCTTTGTTGATTCTTATATGCTAACTTGATAGCCATAGATACACATAACATTCATTGTCCACTACACAACTTGAGAAATATATTTTTGAAGAAAAAATAAGGTATGGGCAATCTTTCTCTCTCTCTCTCTCTCTGTTTTTTTTTCCTTTTGGTATTTTTTTTTTGTAGTCAGTTTGGGAATCTGCTTTGTTTTCTATGTGGGTTTTTTTTTCAGTTCCTGATGTTTTTGAATTGGGTTCTTCATGAATTTTCTTTACTGTTTTGTTGTTCTTAAAAAAGCTATTTTTTTTTGTTTTGTTTTTGGGTGTAATTTGTGTTCATTATAAGTTTTATTATCTGTTTATTTATGGAATTACTACTCTACAGTATTACTTACTTTTTTTTTTTTTTTACTATAAAGTTGTGGACTTTATGGTCAACTGATGTGTGTTGAAGATTTACATAATTTCTTTTTTTGAATTTTGGGGTTGAAGTTTTGGTTTTTTGTTTTTCTTTTTTCGCCCCCTGCAAAACTAGGTTTCTTTTTGCTATTGCCAATGGCTTTTATAGAGCTGTTTGATCACTAAAGAAGCAAATGTTTCCAAAAATCAGTCTTAGTTTCCATTTCATGTTCTCTAGTGGCTATGATTTAGGCATTCAAATAATAGAAGTATTTCATATTGAAGGAGAACTAACATCATATTTGGTGTTATACTCCTGTTTTTTTGTGTAAACTTCATTAGTAATAATCCTTATATGCTGATTGTTTTTTTTTTTTTTTTGAGCATCATACTTATAAAGTAGTTCTGAAATTCGTAATTTCCTTCCTAAACTTATGGAAGAAATCATTTTGTTATAAGTTACTGCTTATTGCTTATTATGCCAAATGTCTTCCTTTCTGTTCTTGTTTAATTTCAATGAACATGCCAAATTTTCTTGTGGAAGTTTCAGATTTTTTTTTTTTTTTTGAGCATGACTAGTTGGACTTATGGAGTTAGAGTTATTTAACTTATTAGTAAAGAAGAATATTAGGCAACATATTTCTTTTCTCTTGTTGGTTATGGGTAATATTGAATTTCTTAGATTGGAGAATGAGAAAATGTATGCTCATTTATTTATTTGCTAGCAAAAATGTGACCAATTAGAAGGCTCTAAGAAATGTCAAATGACCCAGTTTTCATTTCTAAATACTAAAAAGTAATAATAAATGTGCATTTCTTGTATGGTTTCTTGGCGTATTGGCTAGCTGCAGTTTATGTTTCTCATAAGCTTCAACTCCTCGTTGCAGCTTGATAATATTCCTTTATGGGTAATAATTCTGATGATGATGATTCATTCACCAAGCCTCTGGGAAGATGGTCGGTCTTCTATTATGGCGTGGGGCACATGCTCAACGACATTACCGCTTCTTGTTGGTTTACGTATCTATTGATTTTCTTGACTGATATTGGACTCTCCCCACGGTATATACTGGACAATAGTTTAAAAATAATTTTATTTTTATCTAAAGTTTTCATTCACTACCTTACTTGGACTTGCATCAGTGCTTGTTCTTGTTTTGAAATCTTATGCTTGTGTGTATGTGTGCAAGAATGTGTGTGCGTCTGTTGTGTTGGTTCCTGTTTTCGGTGAATGCCCTGAAATGAGAAAGAAGAGAGAGATGCGCACACTCCGTCTTAGTTTTCCTTAGTTATAGCAAGAGATTAACTATTAAATTAAGCCTCTTATTGTTTGTGTAAGGAAAAAAACTTGTAGCTAGTGTTTATCTCCATGTCAGATTGTGGGATATTCAAATTTAGAATGTTAAATGGATAAGAAAATTTTATATTGGGCTTAATTGTTACTCTTTCTGTTATCTTCATCACATACTTCTGAAAAAATAAAAACTATGAACACTTATTTGTAAGTTTATTTGACTTCATAGGGATGCTGCTACTGTCATGCTTTCCGGTCAAATAGCTGATGGATTTGCAACCATATTTACTGGTGAATTGGTGAGTTGGTAACTTGAAACCAGTGGCGTCATAACTTGAGAGAAAAAAAAAATGAAATCTGATACACGTACATGCATATTAATTTAGGCCTTTCCAGTATTTCTTTTACATTGCTTTTGAGATTGTTCCTTTTTTTTCGTTTTCAAATATTGTTTTAGTGAGAGACATTTGTGGGTTTAGGTTTGTGCAATTATGTTTTCGTAGAGAATTTTGCTAGAGTCGGATTAATTTGCATTTTGCAGAATATCTATGTGTGTGGTGTGAGGCAAAACTCTACATTTTGCTAAACTTAGGTATGTGTGTAAGATGATTTGAGGTTTACAGACTATGGAACCTCCTTTCTAATGTGTGATGAGCTTTCTGCGATACTTTGCTTTTCTTGTCCAATTAAAGGCTGCATTAACCATTTTTTGGATACTTCAAAAGTGGTTTTCTGCTTTGATTTAGAAAGATTTGGCATTCCTTGGAAAATATATTGTAGAATTTGGGGAAAATTCTTGAATAACCTCCAAATGTTGGAAACAAAAGGCAACCATTTAGTCTTGTAGCTTTTCGGTCTCGTATACCCCTCTAGAAGTGATCAAACTCCAAATTCAGCTTTATATGAACTTAGTTAAGCCTTAGTTAAACATAAATGGATGGAGTTGGGTGGCAAATAAGGTGGTGTTTCATAAAGCTTTTGGTGACGGTAACTAGTTGCGTCCTATAGTTGCTATGATCTGTCCAGAACCAAGGACATCGACTTTCATTCATGCTGGAAAACAAATTTCAGTACTGTCATGCAAGTTTCGTTATAACCAGGTCCTTGTGCAGTTTTGATGGCATTCAAAATTATTGAAATAGCTACCGTAAAAAGAGCTTTTGATTTTGAAGTGTTCTGATATCATCAAAAGTTTTTGCATTGAAACCTTTGTTTGGTTGGAGTGATATTCATCTTCTATATCTTTTCTTGATAGATAGACAGGTTTGGACATTTCAAAGTATGGCACGGTGCGGGATCCATTTTGGTTGCTATTTCTTTTTCTTCTGTCTTTGGCGGTTGCTTACCTTGCACACTTTTTGGTACCTCTTCTTCAACAATGGAAACTATTAGTTATAGCACATTTGCGGCAATCTTCAATGTCGGTTGGGCTGCTACCCAGGTTTCACATATGTGAGTACTTCAACCATTTCGAATCGCATATCGAAACGAAAAATTGCACCTTCAAGTTTCAATCTATATGAAATAAGAAAATTTTCTTGTTCCTTATTATTTGATTTCTCCTCGGTGAATATAACAATACGTGACAAGAATGCTGAACTACTGAGGATGTTGAAAAGCATAATAACTTCGTTATTATTATTACTGTTGTTTTGCCTTAAGATTGGAAAGAGTAAAGAAGTCTTTTTCATATGTTTTTGTCTCTCAAAACATGAAAAGGTCCATGGTCAATTGTATCACGCTGAATTCGACAAGCAGAGTGGTGTTGGCTAGTTGTCGCAATGCTTTTACAATGGTCAGCTTCCCTTAATATTGAATCACATCAAATGTTTATCCATTTTATACAGATTTATTGGCAGGTCAATTAATTTATCTGTGAATTCAAATTCTTAGGTCGCCAATCTCAGCCTGTATGCGGTCGCTTTAGTAGTCTTCAATGTCACTACTGCTAAAACACATAATAATATCGAAAATCAGGTACAGTTAGCTCCTTCATTTAAGAGCTACTCTTTTTGAGCATGACTGTAACACCGCCCTAAAAAACATGCAGTATCGCTGGATTGCTTATGTGTCCATTTTCATTGGATGCTGCTTTGTGGGTGTATTTCATCTTGGAACCCGAGAGCCAAGGTGCACTAACGATTTATGTTTGTCCAGTTTCCATTGAAAAGTTTGAACTGAAGTCTTAATATATGATTTTATATGCATAGTTTGTATCTTTTTTGTTTTTGTAGAAAGAAAAAGGATATTCTACAATTTGTAATTTTCTCTTTAGTAATTTACTTTCTCAGTGATAAGGACTGTTTATTCTGTCTTGTAATACTTTCTTTATTGTTTGAAACATTATTCTGTTTGACACCATTACAAAGAAGATAAATATCATCTTTTAATTTATGAAACTACTTATAAAGAGTTGTATTTTACCAGTTGGAAATTAACAACTCATTTGCAACATCATTTGGTACGAAAAATTTGGTAAATGATTAAGATCTTCTACAATCGTGCTTTTCATTTTTCTCGTATTTTTTGTACAAAATAATGAGGATGAAACTGCAGTTTGATCAGAACAATCGTTTTCACTTTGCAAACAGATTAAAGATAGGCGTGCAAGGAAGCAGCCATGCAAGAATTTCGTGGTCCTATTGGTTCAAGAGAGCTTTATATTATCAAGTTGCTCTTGTTTATATGCTCACCAGACTGGTAGTCAATGTTTCACAGGTAAAACATTCTCTCATTGCTGGATTGATTGTGGCATGATGCTCGTTTGCTTCATAAGAACAATGGACATAGTTTCCACGATATGTAATACCCTAACAATAATATAGAGTTTACTACGAGAGAGCTCGAGCTTTTGCACATACAGGGGCTTGGTTGCAACTTTTTCAATATGTTTTGTGTTTGTAATAGTTTTTGATACATGATTGTGTACGTTCCTTTAAAAATGAAATATATATATATAGAATTAAGAAATGAAAGAACAACTCACTACACGGCAAAATAACTTAACCGGATGTTTGAAAAGTGAATTGTGAGAGAGTGCATGGAAGCACACCCTCTTTTGCCAAATAGAGCACTTCTGTTTTCAACTTGAGTTTTTAGCCTTACATCTTTTGTTCTTTTTGCTCAGGCGTATCTAGCATTCTATGTTATTAATGATCTGCGGATGGCCCAATCAGCCAAAGCTTTGGTACGCGCACAAAATTGTCAATGCATCAAAATCTCTACTGGCTTTTGAGATTATTTGTTTTGCAAAATTAATGCAACACTGATTTTCTTATTTAACCACTGCGAGCAGGTTCCTGCTATCATCTACATTAGTAGCTTCATTATATCCGTCACTCTACAGGTCCTCATCTAAAACTGATTTTTTTTTTCATTTTTTTTAGGATCTCTACAATATGAGTTCTGTTCATTTCTAACCACTAATTCTTCATATTTATAGGAGGTTTCATGGACCGGTCCTCGTCTGAAGGGGTATTTTTCTGCTGGAGGCATGGTCTGGGTTTTCTGTGGTGTAGTGATCCTCATTTTGCCTAAAAGCATGAGTGGTTTCATGTACATTCTCTCAATATTTATTGGCGTTGCTAATGCTTTAATGATGGTAGGCTGAAAAGTCCATCTTTTCTTTTAGTTTTAAATTTTTTATTATTTTTTCCTATGTCACAAGCTCGGTATGAAGAAGTATTTAGTCAAGAAAACAAGCAAATCAAAGTTGGATAAAAAAATGGAAATCTGCTATGAAAAATATCGTGATTGCTGTTCATCCCCGTATAAATTTCTGATAGCAACTTCATAATGTTCATAATGTGACAGGTAACTGGAGTAAGCATGCAAAGCGTTCTTATCGATACCGATCTCAATGGCTGTGCATTTGTTTGTGGGTCATTGAGCTTCTTGGACAAGATCTCTTGTGGAGTAGCTTTATTTATCCTTCAGTCGTATCAAAGTAAGTCAAACTACAAGTTTTTACTCTATGTGGTATAATATCTCTGTCTGAACTAATAATTTGTACTTGAAAACGGAAAAGGTAACAGGCATTCTTCATTTTTCAGTTCTTTGCGTTTGTATCTATCCCTGATAATTGTTCTACTTCTATCCATCTCAGACACGTATTGAAGCATCTTAAATACGTCTTATTTCCGTATAAAATCATAAGCAGGATGAAATTTGTGATAATGCTATATGAAGATTTAGATGTGTATTAGAGCACAGATGGTTTCTACTCCATTTAGAATGGGCCCTTAGTATTTTTTCTTAATTTATTTTTTATTTTTTGGACTAGAAACGGAAAATCTTTATTCAAAACAAATTTGAGAAATAAATACAAAGTTGAATTTGCTCTTAGTCATGGCAAAACACTTTATAGATTCCACCTAGCTGCTTTAGTTCAACTGGTTCTTGAAGTTGAATATGTTGAATGCGAGTTTGGTAAAACAGGGCTTCATTGTTTGCTGAAAGAGAGATTTTTTTCTTTTTTTCTTTTTTTTACAATGACATAATCTCTCAAGCTAGAATCATATGCGAATGTGATTTATCTATTTCGGAGATCGCATTGGCAGGAGTTTGAGGTCTATATGCCTCTTGCTCTGATACTATGTTAGTTTACCACTTCTCCTTAAAGCTTAAACTATTAAGAGATTGGCCAATATTAGCTTTATATTTTAACGAGTATCGGTAGCCATTTTTATTAATTTTATTTCTTCGGGTATTGTTTTCACTAGCTCATTTGGCACGCTAATGATGGTTCTTTTGTTATGTGATGACACTTGACAGACATCGAAAGAGATGTTTCTTCATCCATGGAGGCAGCCAATTCAAAGCCTTACCACATTTCTATTACAAGATTTGGTTTGGGTGTGGTTCCCGCAATTTGTTCACTTGTGGCTGTGGCAGTAACATATACAATGAAACTTAACCATCCTCTCTCGAAACCACTAGTGCAGCCACTCTTGGAATAATGTCCATGAACAACAAACTTTTGATTCAAGAAACCTGTAGATCTGACCTTCCAAGGAATTTACACGGAGACGGACCCTAATGACTCAACTTCGATCGAGCAAGCAGGCAAAGCCGAAGCATGTTCGACTAGGATCAGGTTAACAAACGCAACAAAGTCTCAAACATTTACACTCCGATTCTTTATTCAGTAATTTTATCACGTCTACAGACTCTTTCCTGTTATTACTGTTCTACAGTTAATGTTGTGTTGTGTATATATTTGGGAGGGGGTTAATTTTAGTTACCTAGACAGATGGTCCATCACAATTCTGAAGTGGGTGGATTACATCTTATTTCAGTGATAAGTCAATTGTTAAACATCTTATCCCAACTGATTTTATTAAATCTCTATTATTATTTTATTATTATTGTTAAATCGAATTTATTGATCATTCTTCCGTAGGCTACAAACAAGTTTCCTATCCATAATAAGTTGCTTTGAGCCATCAGATCTTTATCAAGTTTCATTAGATTTACGAACTCTATTTTGATATGAATTTGATTAGATATACCATTTAAGAATACACAGTCGATACAGATATCATATCATAGAGGAATCCAATTTATTGATATAAACTGTAAAGTTTACCAAACTTTTATTTTATAGTTGAATGGTACACTGATCTCCTTTGTATCATGAGAGAGTCTCCTTATAGGAAAACCAAAAGACCAAATATATTTGACTTAAAAGTTGAACAAAATTCAAGTTCTAATAACTTTGAACAAAATTCAAGTTCTAATAACTTTCTTTTTTGAATTGCTTATATTATCTCTGCACAAAATTCATCAGAATCATTGAATAGAATATGCATCACCACAAATCCGAGTCTTCCAAGAACAACCCTCAAAGGTGTTGTAGTATGTAATATGTTCTGTAATATAGTGATCATCTATTATTCACTTAATGGTATCCGGAAAATATTTTCCATCTCAAATATGCAAAAAATATGCTAAATCCTACAATATTAACTTGGGAATTGGCTTTTTCTTGGAGTCTCTTAGAGAAGGGTCTCTATTTTTCTTCATCAAGTAGCCTAAAACCTTGGCATAGCGACTCACCATTTTCTTCAGCTTCAGTCCGTGAAGACTCTCTTTCTGTTGCACCCCAACTATTTGAAGCTGCTTCTCTCCTTCTGTAAAGTGTTGCCCCAGCGAGCTCCTCCCTTTGCCACCTTCGTCGCCCCCAGAAACCGCCTTTGTTTTCTCGTCCCCGTCGATGAGCTCCTTCAAGCTCTTCCTATCATTCTCTTCGCTTTCATGAGCGACATCTCTCGGCGGACAGTCCCACGGGGAGTTCTCGTTTGCATCTCTGACTTTCGGCGGCCTTCTGGTCCTCCTCGACATGGTGATATCGTAAGGTCGTTTGTCGCCTCCCATTGCTGAGAAAAGAAATCAAGAACCTGCTCAATACATAGGGAGAGTGATGAGAAACTTTGGAGATATGTGCGCTGGTGATTTCGTGACTTAAAATGTGAAATATGAAGTTATGAGAGATTGCTTAGTGAGGAATTGAAAAGGGGAGTAGTTAAAGAAGCATCTCATAAAGGTGAAATGTCTGCTTTCTGATTGTCCTTTTTCAACATGGATCATCAAGATCTTCCCTCTTAGAAGCATGTAGCTGTCTCATTTGAGCAGGTAGAGAGTAATAATATTAATTAAGACAGTTTATTTGAGATTTTACCAACTACAATGCGTCATTATGCTAACTGCCATCCGATTGGCCAGCAGTGGTGGTCCACGTGTCCGGTTGTAACTATAGGTCAAAGCCCTGTATTTATTCATAGTCTTTTGTTTTGATGGTACTGGTTTTAAGCCTATAGTTTATTGTCTTGTGAGAATAGTGACCATTTATATGAATATATGGATTCTCATATGTGTTAACAAAAGTAAAATAACAAAAGTGGATTCTCATTAGAAGCTTTGTCATTATTGTTTGTGGTTGTTGGATTTTTTTTTTTTTTTTTTAGTTTGGTTTATGTTTGTAATGACAGTGGTTCTAGTTTATTTATCTTGTTCGTTTCATTTATTGTTGTTTTTTTTTGTCCATTAGAATTCTTTCTTTCTTTCTTTTTTCTTCGCCTAGGTGCTATGGACATCGGTTGATCGGATATTTCCATCCATTATAGAAGATTTATAAATGAGCCAAGCGTCCACTCGATCTTTGATGTACCTCTTGAGTATTTTATTTGTAGAACTCAATACACGTTGGCCTCGTTCACTTTACGGACTCAAATTTTCAATTTAAGTTGAGATGTGATATTTTTTGAAAACTTTGCACTGTAACAGAAAAAGTTAAATGTGACATTTAGTTTTCAATTTAAGTTAAGATGTGATATTTTTTAAGAACTTTTTACTGTAACAGAAAAAGTTAAATGTGACATTTTTTAAAAAATTTTTACTGTAAAAATTTAAAATTAAAAACTTAAATCGGTAAAATGAACGAGTCCGTTATCTTTCGTTAACCATTTCATTCGAGTTTACGAGGAACCGGTTGTTTACCAGTATCGTATTTCTGTACGTAGCAGCAGACTGAGTGAGTGTGGATCGATATTTGTATTGTTTCTTCATACTATATACTATATTTTTCAATTTTTTTAAAAGGATAAATTGATAGTATTTTTAAACAGTACTTCATTATGCTCACCGGTCACCGCCAATTGAGCCAAAAATACTTGGGGGGCTCGGCGAGCCTCCAACACTACAAGAGAAAGGGCAGGTCCTGCTCCAATGTGGGGCCCACCCTATTTCTTGATGTGATGCCCTCTGGCCATTATCTTTAGTGTCATATTGTTTTAATGCTACTAAATTTAAACCAAGGCTTAGTTGTTTTGTGACAATAAAGACCCATTTTATAACAAGACACTCACACTTGTCTTGCAAATTACGAAATAACAACCAACGAAACTTGAAAAATCAGGGCAATTTCTTCATCCTCATTTGACTTTTCAATTTGATTTTCTTTAATTTTTAGGATATATATACATCAGCTAACATCACTTTTTTTTACCACTCTCTTTATTCATTATTTAACATGTGAATTATATTAACATGATATATTAATATTTAAATAGAAAATGAGATAATAGAGTTCCTTTTTATTTCTACCCCTTAACATTAGTCCATATATTTATATCTTTTAGATTAGAACTAATTAAAGGGTAAAGTTTTTTAAAAATGTACTTTTAGTGAGTCAGATACTTAAAGAGGTAGAATCTGTTTTCTTCTCCATTTTTATGAGGTGGTTGCCTTTCATGCTTTCAATTAAGGTGGCCAGTAATTAGTCAGTTATTGTTCTCTCCCTAAATAGTCCCTAATTAAGGTTTTAGAAGTTAATCACCTTTCTTTTAACGATATCATGATGTGTATGAAACATAAGAACTATGAGTCGTGAATGCAGACTCTCATAGATAATTGGAACATATAGGCCGTGTTTGGAATTGATCTCATTTTTGTTTTTCATATTTTTCGAGAAAGAAAAAATGAAAACGTTCTCAAAACGGCGTTTAGCGCGATAAATACAAAAAACGGTAATAAAAATAATTTTTTGATTTAGTGTAAAATGAGAGAAATAAAAAACAACTTTTAGTCATTTTTCATTTTTTGTTTTCATTTTCTCCTCTCTCGAGTAAAGAGAGAGAAAGAGAGACATTAATGGATTTTTTTACACTGAAAACAATTTCTTGATAAAACGACCAAATGCATTTTCAAAAATGATTTCTGTCTGAGATTGAAAACGTTTTTATTTTCCTTTTCATACATAAAACAAAATCATTTTAGAGCGAGTTCCAAACGCGCCCATAATTTCTAATTTTCTTTTCTTTGTTGCCTTTTTTTTAATACGGTGCGAGGCTTATAACTCACACTTTACACAATAAATAAGATTATTAGGATTTAAATCTTAGTAGACACGCACATATTTACGCATCTAACCACCTGAGATGCTATATATGTAAGAATTGCAGTATTCTTCTCTAAAATAAAATATAAATAAAATAAAAAATAAAAAATTTGTAGCTCTCCAGTCACTTCTATGAAAATATGTGGAAACTAATTCACTAACAGACAACAAAATATTGTCTTAAATTCTCATTTGACATTGGTTATCATACTCGGTCTTAAGATCAAAATTGTCAAACGTTTATTCTTATTATCATTATTATTATTAATTTAATTTTCTGAACAACTAAAGGTGGAACCTTCTCATTCTTGAAATTAATTAAGCCACATATAATCAATCATCTTGCTCGATGGTTGGTTAGTTTATTATAAAAAAAACTCCTTTTTTTTAATCTTATAAATTTAGAGGTGCAAATGTGCAAAATACGAGATTAAAAACTTCAATAAAGAGGAATGAGCATGTGGGCCCGCTGAGCGCTCCACAGGCCCGAGAGAAATTACTCATGGATCGGTCCATGGGCCATACCACCAATATCAGTACAGCCCAACCCAATAATTAAGCAGGCTTGGGCCTTAGCATGAATCAGACTTGGAAAAGTACAGCTTTGATTGGATAGCGAGATATATGGTATATGTATGCGGAATTAAAATATGCTGTAATTTGTGAATATTCTACGGCCCGTTTAGTTCGCCGATTCGAATTTTTAATTCGAGTTGAGATGTGACTTGATGTTAGAGCTTTTTACTGTAACAAAAAAGTTAGATGTGATTATTTTTTAGAGCTTTTTATTATAACAAAACTCGAATTCTAAACTCGAATCGGTGAAATAAACGGGGTCTACATATGGCCTAAGCATTATGTACGATAACATTATTAACCTTAATAATGATATGGTTCATTTAAATTCATTGTATAAATTAATTTTAAAGATAATATATAAAAAATGTGGTAGATATATTATCCCACAATATGTGGGATCATAAACCTTTTTAAATGAATCAAATCCTTAAAATTATGACATTTCTTGCTCAGTATCAAATACGTAAGTATTGAAAAAGAATAATTTAAAATTTTTCTTTCTCAAAAGTCATTAATACACTAGCAAGATACTGGAAATTAGTTACCAAAACTAAATATAGAATAATCAAGAAACATAATTAAAAAAAGCCATATAAGTGATATTTATAGAACTAAGCCACATTTTGATTCACCCTTCAAAAAAGAGTTAGATTGTGTAATTTTTACTTGTTTTTCCCTTTTTCGGAATTTGTACTACTATAAAACTAAATTAAGTAAATAGTAAATTTTAAAATTATTTGAAGTAAATAACCGTTTATTCTGTAAATTTTTCATTTATGACTGGAAAAAAAATCTTTATTTACGTGGAAAAAAATCTTTTTACAAGTCCGAAAAAAAAAAATTTACGTGGAGTACTGATACAAGTCAAGATGGGCATCCAAACTTTTTTGGTAATTAACTTGATTACATCTTTTGAATAAGTACTGATATAAATATATATACATATATATATATATATATTCGAAGGAAATAAGTACTAGTATTTGAACAAAGAATTAATCAAGCTTAACATTTAACTTGGCCAATTATCTGACTTCAAGAATCTAATAAAGTTTGAAGTGGTGGTAACAGTGGATAAGAGAGGAAGTACCATAGTAGGATAAAAAAGCAGATTCAGTATTTAGTTTTGACTTCGAACTTAGTTATGTATGTAGGAGTCATTTTGATTTGATTTAAGAAAAGATATTAGGTGTTTGGATAAAGTTGTGTCTTGAAAATAAAGTTGTAAAGTTTTTGGAATTATAAGGATTATTTATACCTATATCTGGGGTTGTGGAAAGGAGATCGCAAACTATTTGACTGAACTAATTCAGTACGTTTTTAGATTCACATCATAATCCTTTCCCGACAGTTATATAAGAACAGTCTAACCCTTCGTTCATTTCACCGATTCGAGTTTAAAATTTAAGTTTTGCTACAGTAAAAAACTCTCAGAAACAGTCACATTTAACTTTTTTACTACAATAAAAACTCTCACATAAAGTCACATCTCAACTTAAATTAAAAACTCGAATCAATAAACTAAACGAGAAACTGGTCCGGAATGTTTTAGATTTTTATGTATATTTTTAAAAGTTTTTTCATAATTTACATTAATTAGATATAAACCCTATATCTTATTTTATAAACTTTTCAATCTTTAAAGTTTTAATAGCTTAAAAGGACAACAATGTTTTAAGAGTCACAAAACAAACACAACATCCCCATAAAAAAAAAAAGGTTTAAAAAATCAATTGGGATGTTACCCACATTTTGATCCAAAACCGGACCCAATTACAAGATATATATAAACTGCGGTTCAAATCGGACCAAAACTTACTATAACGCCCCATAAAATTAACTCTTAGAACTTTACGATTTTCAAGAAAATATTATAATGAAATAATATAGTTATTAATAA